CGATTAATTGTCAACAAATCAAGTAATTGTGACCTGACACTTGATTTTAAGTTTTTAACCCTAAAAAGATAAAAAGATAAAAACATTCATTAACTAATATTTGATTGAAAATCGATAAATTTCCCTGTTGTGTTGTGGTGGCATGTGTTCATCCAACTCCATATCAAAATATGAAAAGATTTAGTACATTTATACTATGATGTCATAAGTTTAGAGGAGGAAAAAAAAAAAAAGAAGGTAAAATGACTTGAAACAAAGAAAAGAATGAGTGTTGACGGTGATAGCTAATGGACTATTAGTTATGAAGAGGACTAGGGGACAAAATGTGACATCGAATTTGGGACTCTATGTCTTTGTGAACAAATCCTAGATGTCTTTCAAAAGAGAAGACAAGAGGGTAACTTTAAGAAACATGCAATACATTAACTTTAAAAAAAAATTATTATTCTTAACAAAAAAATTCATACATACCACTCACACATCATTTTTACCCCTTTATAATTATTTGTTATAGAATAAAAGTGTTTACTCCACTCTCTAAATTAAAAGTGTTTACTCCACTCTCTAAATTAAGTGTACATGCACATGACCCTTGTTGTGCAAAATGATTACAGGACTATGCCAATAAATGGCTTAATGTCTAAACCAAATTAATGACATGAAAAAAAAATAAAAATAGGTCAACATAAATCTTCTAATTGGAGTACGCAAATACTACAGTTATATTCTTTGTTTATCTGCAAGTTCCAAATTAATTTATGAAATTAATGTTCCACAGTAAAACAGTGGTGTTGGCATTGAGAGTCAACATCCTCCTTCCTTGACTTCTGTCCAATCACAACCTTAGACATGAATGATTAACACGAGTACACGCATGTAAAGTGATTTAGTAATTAATTAGTGCATACACACACACACACACACACACTTAATGTTTTCCCTCTTTTCTTATTTATATTGTCAACATGCTAGTAAATTAATTAGTGCATACACACACACACACACACACTTAATGTTTTCCCTCTTTTCTTATTTATATTGTCAACATGCTAGTACAGAGCGGACCATTTCTTTTCTTTTGTTTTATGGCTTGCACCTAAAGAAAAGGCCAAGGTAGAGGGAGAAGATTTTGGGTTAACACAAACAGTAGAATTAAGAGGAAAAGAAAAAGGATATGATGTTCCCCAATGTTGCTTCCCTTGGCCCTCTTTCTCTTGCTCCAATGCATTTTTGATGCAATATAGCACTTCGTGTGCAAAATAAGCATCTATCTCTATATAGGTCTTTGACATGGGTGTTGAAAGCAATCTTGATATATATATATATATATATATACAAGACAGGGGACAATGAAAGAGAATTTGAGGTGGGCGTGTAAAGGAAGGCCTCGTGTGAGGAGGGACCATCTGTATTTTAGACCCAAAATAACGACCATCTTTTAACAATGACAATGTCTCTATTCTTCCATACATTAGGCTCCATTCTTTTTCATTTTTAGTCAAATTAATTTTATAAACCCAAAAAATTAAGGTCACTACTAGCTAGGAGCATCCTATTATCTTACATGGACATACTTTCTGTGCTTCAATTGATCTCCTCACCCAAATCTCAAGCTGTCTAATTACAAACCCCATCAAATCCTATCATTTTTCCTCCGAGCCCCACCTTACTAATTTTTCTTTAGAATCTGGTCAAATTTCTCTCTTTTTTAAAATTCCATCATTCCAAACAAGTGAAATTCTTTTCAAAATCTAATTACTATGAAATCCCAAGGTTCCAAACACAGTGTTAAGCTTTAACATGGTATCAAAGTGTTGGGAATCTAACGCGTAGAGCAATAAAATATATATAGCGGTAAAGATTTTTGTTTTTAAAAAAATATTCTCTACCAGCATCCCATAATCGTCTCAATCAGTTTTAAAAAATCAAATTAAATCTTCATTACCGAAGAAGACTAGAACAACATACCGTTTAGACAATTGAATAATTGTCTGCCACCAATTAATTATTCTGTTGCTTGCCAGATTTAGATCCACAGTCCTTTGATGCTGTATCAACCGTGGTACAATTCTAATCTTCACTCCTATCTCTGGTAAGGAATTCCTCAAGCAGTTAAAAGTGTAGGTAGTGTAGGTTTCAAATCTTTTTTAGAATTTGTGTAGAGAAACTGATATAATAATCTCTCTCTCTCAATAAGGAACTGATGGAATTTTCTCTCTCAAGAATACAAGTATATACTTCTGAGTTGATAGCATACTGGAATAATCTACTACCCCTTATTCCACCCCCATTATATAGAAGCAGAATCTCAAATTATTACATCTCATTATCCTGCACAGACTCACCTTTACATCTACTACTTGCATTCCACGTTGAATTAGGAGTGGGATCTGATAGGTTTATCCCTATCTAAGACTTTAATAGAATCCTAGTGAATTGCTAACTGCTTAGCCAACTAGAATTACTTCTATTTAATTATTTCTAATTTTACTAAAAGAAAATAATAGCACTCAAGGATATGAATAATTATACTATATGTAACGATCCAAACCCAGGAGTCCGGATCATTAACTGGGTCCTGACCCAACTCGTGAACACCCAAAGGTAAAATGATCATTTTGCATTAAGTAAGATAATTTGACCCCAATTTGGTCAAATAAGGTTTATACAATCCATCATAGTCATTCCATAACATTATAAAAAGTTTTACGGGCATTAGTCATGGTTTGTCCAAAAGTGCCCCCTGCTTGGTTCAAGGAAAATCTCAACACTATCTCACTAAAATCAAAATATCTATCACCATGATTGGAATCTAAAGATTAGGTTGGTATCATTGGAAAGCTGACTCAAAAACCTTAAAAATGGACTCAAGAATGACCCCATTTGAATTTGAAACGATGAAGTTATGACTACTCAAAGTTAGGGGTCCAAAACTGAAACTCACCAAGGCAAAGTGGTTCTGGGACACTTAAACCGATTCAACATGGACAGTATGCCCACATTGAGAACCAAATTCACCCTTAAACCGGTTCAAATGGGCAGAACGGGTTTAAGAATTTTTTGTTAGTGAATTTTATAGCAGCCACATGTAGATGGGTTACACTTGATATATGTAGTTTGTGGATAAAAAGTGGGTTTGGACAAATAGGAAGGAAAATAAATGGAGATGCAATTTTTTTAATTAATTCAAGAGAAAATACAGTGTGAGGCTTTAATTTTTCCCCAGATCCCACGCTTAATAGTGGGTAAGCATGCAGAGTTCTAAAACTTTGAAAATTCAGGTACAAAAAAATTAGAAGTTTCTTTCAAATTATTCTTGAACTGGTTCAATAATTTTTTGTTAGTGAATTTTATAGCAGTCACATGTAGATTACTTGACTATTAATTGTGGGATCTGGGGAAAAATTAATAGTTGAGCCTGACTATTAATTGTCACTTGCATTTTGTGACCTTTATTACTTTGTTATAATGGAATTCAGTTGGCCTTGTTTTAAGCCATATGTACAGAATATCTTGGCTGTTTTTGCAAAGGATTCTTCTCTAGAAATTTGCTCAACAATTCATTTAACCTAACTAACATTTAACTTGACTAGGTGACATTTTTATTTTATTTTTTTTCTGAAAATTGAAGCAATTTTGTATAGATGAAGAAGTAAATATGTAGAGTGTGTTTATGGCCCAAGAACAAAAGGGACCAGAACAACCCAAAGAAGGAAATACAAAATATAGCCCAATGCTATAGGTAATAAGCCCAAGCCCAAAGGAAATTTGGACAAGAAAAAGTTGAGGCCCAAGCTATCAAAGCCTAACAATCCGGTTAATTTGTCTGTTTAGGGTTTACTGCTCTGCAATCCGGTTGTATCCATGGAGCCTGGACTTGCCTCAAATACGTTCCTTCGTCTGGTGGAGGTCGGAGGCATGGCAATGGAAGATCCCACTCGGAAAGAAGACGGTCTGGAGGAGGCTGGCTGCATTGTCTTTGAGGTATCAAACCAAAAGTGAGTGAGTCTTCCTTCCATTTCCAACTCTATGTTTTATCAGTTTTGAAACTACATACATACATGCCTTTGTTGAACCATCTTTCTCCAAATCCAAGTGCATTTTTGTGGGAATTTGTTTTTGAATGACAAAATACTTGTATTCTTGATTAAGTAGGTAGTTGTGTGTACCCACTAAGACAATTGTGCCCTTTTTGTGTATTCAAGATCAGGAAGCCCCAAACCTCCTCCTGATTTATTATTGAGCTGCAACATTCATATAGGAACTTTATCAAAAGGGAATTTTAGGATGGAATCACAATGAAGCTTTCTTGTTTCTGTTTCTGTTTTTGTTTTGCTTGGGCAACTTAAATTACGTTCTATAAATTTAATTACAAGTTCAATCCTCATGCAACTCAATTTAGTATAGAGTATCAACCAGCTAACTGAACTATTCTCTCATATTTTTTTGCCAAAATGTTCACTTTTTTTTTAAGCTTTTAGCAATCAAATGTACTCGCTTGTTTTGGCTGAATTGTGCCTGGATCCAGTTCTCTTCTCTAATATGCAGTCTTACTGGAGACTCATTTCAGGATTCCCGTGTCCTTAACTGATGGGACCGTGTGAATATTTGGGAGAAACAAGTCTCAGTCCTATCACAAACTATCAACATTTTTAGAAGACTAATAAACTTCGATTCTAATACTTGATCTATTTAGCACACAATAGCTGCACTAAGCTCAACCAGTCGACCCTTGCTTCGATCAGTTGAGTGGTCTGCCCCTAACTGATTAATCATTTACTTCGATCAATCAACCACTTTCTAGACTATCGTTGATAAATTCATGTTTTCCCTTAATCAATTGGTTCAGATTCAACATTGATAGATGGTCTCATCTCATTCAGCAGGAAGACAATTCTAATTCAAGTCAAAGCATCAGTACTGACAACTTATTTCATCCCTCAGAAAAAATAAAAAAATAAAAATGGAAAGAAGCAGCAGCAGAAGGATAACATAGAATGTTGAAATAGATATTCTGATATTTAAATTGATTCATACTAGTCTATTATGGCAATTCCCAAGTTCATTTGAAAATACACATAAATGCTATAGTATAGGATATGATCTCATATGCTTCCCACCAAACACAACTTTTAGGCATATATGTACTCACCTGTAAAACTAATATTGGAGTCATCAACTTCTCAACATTGGACTCTAGCCCTTACATAGAGATCTTAGGAACTTCAGTTAGTCTCATTTTTCATTTCTTCTTGGCCAATAGGGAGTTCTTGTTGTTTAGAGTTAAAATTCATAATGCTCACACCTGAAATAGATAATGATTCATCCTGGGAATCTTTAATCAGCAGCCTATGTTCGTCAATTGGGGCATTATTCTTGTACTTGTACCATTTCGCCCAGAATACATAATTTGCAAAGTTCAGCACACTGAGAACTGCCAAAAACCAGTAGTAGAACTCAACATGATTCTTGTTTATGTCGTGCCCTCCGAGCCATCCTCTCTTGCTCAAAGTGACTTTAGCAGTTACCGAGTTAATGAGCTCGACAAAGACAGTGCTCAGGTAGTAACCAATGGATACGGAGACAAATGAGAAAGAAGTGGAGAGAGACCTCATGCCAGGAGGAGCCTCACTGTAAAAGAAGTCCCATAGCCCAACCAAGGTGAACATGTCTGCCATCCCAAATATTGCATACTGGATAGCAAGCCAGAAGAGGCTGATCCGGTGATTGTTGTGGACAAGTTCATTCCTTCTCTTCACCTCAACGATCCCTGCCACGCCCATTGAGATGGCGGAGAGAACTAGCCCCACTCCGACCCTCTGGAGGTGGGTTATGCCATTTGGGTGACCTGTTAGTTTCCTCGCAAGAGGAACAAAGGCGAATTCGTATACAGGTATGAGAAGCGACATGATCACCAGAGGAATCACGGGAATTGAGGCAGGTGGGACATTAAAACCACGGAGGCTAGTGTTCATGATGGTCCCTTGTTGGACTGTAAAGGTCTGCAACTGGGCTAGGCATGTGTTGATGAGGATAGTGCTCAAAAGGATGGGCATCATCCTCGCTAGGATCTTTACTTCTTCTACTCGAGTCACTGTGCAAACTCTCCATTTCCCAGGCTTGGTGCCCTCAGGAAGAACAGCAGCTTTGTCTAGTAGCCTGCTGGTCAAATTAAATCACAACTTAAAAAGTTTCAACTCGATCATTCTAATAATCCATCCCTAAAACCCTATTTTCTTTTAGTGATACCTAAACTGGTTTGTATGAGGAATGCGTTCTCTGTTTGATGCAGACTCGGGGTCATGTATCTCGTACAAGTCACTCGAGTTTGGGGGCAGCCGTACCTTCAAGTTCCTTACAGTCACCACCAAAACCTAAGTATCAATCATATATGCATTTCAGATGATTTAATTAAATAGTATGGGATGATCAAGTACTTCCTTTCCCATTTGATGTATAGCAGGCAAGAGAGAGGGATTATCCACCTGTGAAATGCTTAATAAGGCACTTTCTCCTGGCACTCGAACACGATAAAATGGCTTTCCAACTGAAACAGAACATAGACCAAGAAAAGCACAAACCATGGAGATGATGAAGCCCTTGTCCCATCCCACATTTGTGCTTACCCACACTACTAATGTGACCGCAATTGAAGCGCCAATGGTTAGGCTAAGCAAAAACCAATTGAAGAAGCTGGCTATGTTCTTGCGTTCCTTGGGGTTGTCGTGATTGAACTGATCGGCACCTAGAGCAGGCAATGCTCCTCTGATTCCACCACTTCCCAGTGCCACCAAGTATATAGAAGCGTAAAGGAGTAGTGCTTTAGTACCATGAACACACCTAGACTCATCACAAGGTTCAGGTTGGAGCTTATGATAATGAGATTGAACAATGAGCAACAAGTATCCCTGTATATATATAAAAGCCAAACCATTCAACCAAATTACTCATATTCACAGTACTCACCATCTAAATGAACTAGTCTAAAATTTTCTCTTTGTGTAGGAACTCTGACAATGAGCAAAGAATGAGAAAAACCTTCCCTATTTCTTGATCAAGGATGTACTAGTTAGCTATATGAGTGAGTGATATAAATTAATTACCAACAATTCTATTGCGCCAAAGAGTAGGCAAGTGCTGAGGCGATTCATGTACGTATCAGAGATGAATCCTCCAACGATCGTAAGCAAGAAGGCAGTACCTAAGTAGTTTGTGGTGGTAGTTGCAGAACCAGACAGATCAAAGTGCATCACAAATGAGAAATAGAGGACCAAGCTTGACATGTTTGCCACGAAGCCTATGGTATCCAGTCCCATCATTGCTGCAAAAGAACTGATACATGAAGGTTTTTTTGATTTTCCAAAACTAAGTATAATGCCAACAATATATTGTTATCCTCTTATATATATATATATATATATATATATATCAATTGTGTCTTAGAGGGTATGGTGATTGTGATTTCTTACCAAAGACGAAAATTGTGGCTTTAAATCCACCTTGTGTAGGATTTTTCATGGGCTCATAATTCATAACTTCAACACCTCCATTATCATTCAGTCCCTAAACAAATTAGCATAATAGATATGAATACACGGTTATGAGCACAGTTACTGAAAGTATGACCATCTAATTCCCATCGATGTCAATCTTCATGAGTTTGTGATATCTAGGTAGGGCTAGCCAACTGCACTAAACTCAGGTCATTGCAGAGTCTATGTTTAGATGCACTGGCAAAACAAAAAATGTGATAAGTGGAAACTGAATAAATAAAAATAATTACCATAATTAAGGAGCTCGTAGCTGACACACACACACACAGATGTAAAATGTAACGAGTGATACAAAGTGTTGTGAGCTTATATAGTATAGCAGCTGTAATGTTGGGGTGCATATATAATAAATTTGACAATGCAACAAGCATAAGCCGACTGACCGGCCTCCACTAAACCAGACACCAGAGATCATCCAATAATTCATGATTAGGAAATTAATTAGCAGCCAGACCTACTATTTGTCCAAATAATTAATAATTCTCTCTCTCTCTCTCTCTCTGTTTACTGTTTGTATAGTATATAATTAGTTCAAGTTTTTGTATCCATCTTAGGCGACCCCTAGGGTGTGTGATATATACTGAGTAGTGAGTGAGCTAGTATTTATGAACTAAACATTCCATGTCCATGTTACGTTAGAATACATGCAAAGCCAAACATTAGCTGACAAATTCAAATGTGTTTTTAGCTTGAACTCATTCGGCCAACAAGCTAAAGGTATCAAGCTGATATGTAATGTCATATAGAAGATGGCAAAGAGAACCACAAATGCATTCATCAGCTTGTTTGATTATTTGGCAAATCCAGTCAGAATATTCCTCCTCTTCACCTTCCAAATTCCAACTCTATTTGATGCCATATCATATGATTATATAATTCTAAGAATAAATAATCTATGAAAAATGTGAATTTGCATCAAACATGATCCATCGTTGTCATTATTCGACCACAACAGTCTGCTAATTAAACGAGTGAACACTAAAAGTTATAATAAGACCCACAAGGCATTTAATTAGAAAGCCTCTCAGAAAAGAATCTAAAATACAATAATAAGCATATTGTATATATACCGCCTCCCCTGAATAATAAAAAATATCTCCCCTATATAAAGACAACATTGGTATCAGTATCACATTGCTTGAAATTCATACACAGGTGCCAATTACTCTATTTATAGAGTTTCTATCAGAAGCATGCCATAATTTATATATATATATATATATATATATATATATTACCCTAAAGGAATTCAGGGAGATGAAGAAAATCACTCCCCTGCTTAATCCGTTGGTAGATATTATAGACTCAATACAGGACCACATTGCACCATTTTTTATTTAGAAATATATATACTCCATTACCTACAAAACTAATATTAATTCTCGAGCCCTCAACTCCACAAAGATCTTAACTACTAGCCAGTCTTGATACATATTATATTCCGTAAGCCTCCTTTTTGGTTTCTTCTTGTTTAGATTTAACACTCATCATACTCACAGCTGAAACAGATAATGATTCATCCAGAGGTCCTTTAATCAACGGCCTATGTTCGCCAACCGGGGCATCATTCTTGTACTTGTACCATTTCGCCCAGAATACATAATTTGCAAAGTTGAGCACACTGAGAACTGCCAAAAACCAGTAGAAGAGCTCAACGTGATTCTTGTTCATGTCACGCCCTTCCAGCCACCCTCTCTTGCTGGAAGTGACTTTAGCCGTCACCGTGTTAATGAGATCAACAAATATTGTGCTCAGGTAGTATCCAATGGACAGGGACACCCATGATAAAGAAGTGGAGAGAGACCTCATGCCGTGCGGAGCCTCACTGTAAAAGAACTCCATCAGCCCAACTAGTGTGAACATGTCAGCTATCCCAAATATTGCATAATGGAATGAGAGCCAGAAGAGGCTGATCGGGTGATTGTGGTGGACGAGTTCATTCTTCCTCTTCACCTCAACGATCCCTGCCATGCCCATTGAGATGGCCGAGAGAACCAGCCCCACTCCCACCCTCTGGAGGTGAGTGATGCCATTTGGGTGACCTGTTATTTTCCTCACAAGAGGAACAAAGGTGAACTCGTATATAGGTATGAGAATGGACATGAACACCAGAGGAATCACAGGAATTGAGGCAGCCGGGACTTTAAAACCTCCGAGGCTAGTGTCCATGATGGTCCCCTGTTGGACTGAAAAGGTCTGCAACTGGGCTAGGCATGTGTTCATCAGGATGGTGCTCAAAAGGATGGGCATCATCCTTGTCAAGATCTTTACTTCTTCTACTTGAGTCACTGTGCAAACTCTCCATTTTTCCGGCTTGGTGCCTTCAGGAAGAACAGCAGCTTTGTCTAGTAACCTGCACTTCAAATTAGGTCACAAATTAAAAGGTTTCAACTCCATAATTCTATAAGCACGTGATAATACATATGCAGGAAACTACCTTAAGGAGTACAAAGGAAGTGGTTCAGATCTTTGGCTCTAATATATATATATATATATATGTCAAAAAAAAGCTTTGTATGTATAAATAAGGTGATCAATATTGTTGAGGAGGAATGCTTTGGACAATCGAAAATGATGTAAAACTGATTGTTGAAGGCTATATAGCTCGTTTAGACCGCCAAAAGTCCAAACGGACAGGTTGACACGGTGTTTTGGACAGTTTTTGTGAGTCCGTTTTGACCCGAAATGATCCCTATTTGATGGGAAACGACTCAGCTCGCACAAGTCAGTAGCAAAGATGCTGATATAGGAGTCTTTCCGGCCAAATTCTATCGTTTAGGTGCGTCTTTCTAATTTTGAATATTTCTGGATTTTTGTAAAAGGTCTAAAAGGTTTCGAATTATTTTCAATTTTTTTCCTTACATTGTTAGGTTTACTCAATTATAAATATACATGTCTTGCAAGAGAATATGCACTTAATATTCCATTATCAACAAAATATGCAGTGTAATTTTCTTGTTTAACTTTGTGGATTCAAAGTTGTTCCCAGTTCGTTATTTAATATTCATAAACTTCTGCTCCATATATCGGAAAAACATTACTAAGAGAACCTATATATTTACCTGAACTGGTTGGTATGAGGAATGCGTTCTCTATTTGCTGCAGACTCAGGGTCATGTATCTCATACAAGTCTTTCGAGTTTGGAGGCAGTTGTACCTTCAAGTTCCTTAGAGTCGCCACCAAAACCTGAGTATATGTAGATGATGAAGTTGAGTTATTTAAAATAGTGTGTTGGGAGAAAGAGATTGATGTATAGGTAGAGAGAGAGAGAGAGAGAGAGGCATACCTGTGAAACGCTTAATAAGGGGCTTTCTCCGGGCACTCGAACACGATAAAATGGCTTTCCTACTGAAACACAACATAGACCACCAAAAGCACAAACCATGGAGATGATGAAGCCTTTATCCCATCCCACATTTGAGCTTACCCACACTACAACAGTGACTCCAATTGAAGCCCCAATGGTTATGCTGAGCAAAAACCAATTGAAGAAGCTGGCTATGTTCTTGCGTTGGTCCGGGTTATTGTGATCGAACTGATCAGCACCTAGAGCAGGCACTGCGCCTCTGATTCCACCACCTCCCAGCGCCACCAAGCATATAGATGCGTAAAACAGTAGAGCTTTACTACCATGAACACACCTAGACTCCTCACAAGCTTCAGGTTGCAACTTATGATAATGAGATTGAATAATCAGCAACAAATATCCCTGTACGTATATATGAAAGGGATGATGTCGTCATCTCTCACTCACATAAAACACTAGGAAGAAAGATATATTATAATTATTATTATTCGACTTTCCAACTACTTACTTACCAACAATTCGATAGCGCCAAAGAGTAGGCAAGTGTGGAGGCGATTCATGTAGGTATCAGAGATGAATCCTCCGACGAGGGTAAGCAAGAAAGCGGTGCCCAAGTAGTTTGTGGTGGTAGTTGCAGAACCAGCAAGATCAAAGTGCATCACAAACAAGAAATACAGCACCAGGCTTGCCATGTTTGCCACGAACCCAATGTTATCCAGTAACATCATTGCTGCAAATCAAAATTGTTATATACCAAAACCATTTATATATAATGCGAGAGATGAATTATATATATACATATATTGTGATTTCTTACCAAAGATGAAAGTGGTGGCTTTAAATCCACCTTGTCTAGGATTCTTCATGGACTCGTATTTTGTAAGTTCAACACCTCCATTACCATTCAATCCCTAAACAAAATACCATAATACATAGGAATCAATTCTTCATATAGTATCACCATCTAATTCTCGTTAATCTGCATATTTATCAAATATGTTATTGAGTGTACGTATACGTACACTCAATTTTGTGGTTGAGTGTATGTAGCATATATGGTTGAATAACTACTATCTTTTTATGGTAGAGTGTACGTAGCATATACAGAGAAAACGTCAAATAAATTACTACTATCTTATTATCTCAAATTAACGTTAACACTTTTAGCTGAACAAATAACAAATTATTACTCAGGATTAAAAGGACATTGATTGTTGAGGTCGATGTGGTGCCATGTTACCCACATGTTCACTTTATTGGATGCTTGTCAGGTGACATGACATGGCACTATGAATGTCAAAAATAATAATAACTGCAACAATTTTTTTTTTTTTTTTTTTTTTTCAAGTTAAAATTGGACTAGGTTACTTCTGTTTCTCGGATTCTTTCCTTTCTTTCCAAATTAAATGACTCAAATTTCTTTTACAAAAAAATTATATTGACCGATTAGTGTTATTAATCATTATTTGCTCATTTAGTATCATATCGAATAATTAGAATTTGAGTGATGATACATAATTCGAATTTAGAAGTTGGTGAAAAAAAATTACGGAAGTGATTGAATGACTCTATCACATAATGTCAAAATGATGTTATGTGATGGAATTCATACCTTACTCAAAATTCTCTATATTTGAATGATATATTATTTTTTTTTTTTAGAGTTTATTAACACAGTATCTAGAGAACTTCACATGTTAAGCCCAATTAAAGACGTACAAAGTGAAAAAATGACATGTAAAGATGAAAACTGAATAAATAAAAATAATTACCATGATTGAGGAGCTCGTAGGTGCCACAGAAGAGAGAGAGAGAGAGAGAGAGAGATGTAAAATGTAACGAATGATAAGAAGCTGCAAGTATATATAGTGTAGGCAGGTAATGTTAGTTTGCATAAATTTTGACGCCACCCTTCCACATTTTATTGAGCATAGAGAAAATGGTGACAAAGCAACTAAGCATAAGCCGACTGACCGTTCTCTACTAAATCCGACACCAGAGATTCATACAATAATTTATTATTATAAAAAGACCACCCAGACCTACCCTACCTATTTCTCCAATTAATTAATATTTCTCTATCTACATCTCGATGTTTACTGTTTATATATACCCTACCTATTTCTCCAATTAATTAATATTTCTCTATCTACATCTGGATGTTTACTGTTTATATATATATATACATATATATATGTTCATGTCAAGGGAACTTTGTATCAATCTTAGGCAACTCCTCGTGTTTGTTGTATGCATTAGGATCTTCTAATGTAAATTATACTTTTCAACACCATTACATTTATTTTGCGACGCATTTTACATTTATTTAGTTTTTTTTATTATTATTCAAATGTAAAGTAAAAATTAAAAAAACAAGTGTACTATTTTAGAAAACACAAAAATCTCAAAATCTCAATTCTAGGGTCAACTTCAACCATACAAATCCCCTTTAATTACAGAACATCAAAGTTTAGGAGGCATGCTTAGGGCTATCTCTAGTCCCAAGAGAATGGTTTAGCCACTCATTGATGACCGTTTTACCCTTTTGGGTCTTAAACCATCATAATTATGTTTAAATGATCATTTTGCCCTTGTTGGGCCGTCCAAGTTGCACCCTCAGTTTAAACCTCATTCAAAAATTCCAGACACAGAAAGAGTTATGCCTATTTTAGTGACACCAAATGGCCCCAAATTAATATATGCTAGTATACAAGTCCTAGTCATTACAAATATCAAGTTAAAAACTTAATTAGGCCAATGGAACCAATCTTGTAAAATATTTTTTTGTTAAAATAGAATTTATAAGTGATAAAGTTGAATAAAATGAACATGCCCAAAACTAGACTGCGAGATTAAGCCAGTTTTAGGTAAGAAATTTTGTTAAAGAGAATCTCGATCCTTAAAAAAAACATGTGTAATGGTGTTGATTATGATTACAGCACCACTAATATTGTACTGTTAAAAGGAACACGAAAATGGGTGTCTATTTTGAAAAAACACAGAAAACGGATTCTCTTGAGCGGAATCTCCTGAACTCCACTACCGTAGAGGATCCGGATAATGTTGTACATATGAAACATAAGCCAACAAAGCACCCTACCTACCTGCGATCGTGGACCTTAGATACTCTGGGGATTCCTACAAATCAAAACTCAAAGATCCAAATGAGGAAGGCTTTAAAATATGAACCAAATGAGAAGGCTATAAAATATGAACCACAAGTACATGAGATTGTTCAAGCTCATTGGTTTGTTTATGAATTTATAATTTGGACTGTAAATAAGTTCAAAAAATTAAGTTCCAACTCCACCGTAACGTGTCAAATTAACATTTTACTGTCAGCGATATCAGACTCCTACTTCTCAAAGGGAGGTCAAAAGTTTGAGTTATTTAAAAAAATATAGTATTTGTTCATGGATATATAAGTAAATATCATTTTGAGCAAACCATTACTTAGGACGGGTCAAATTGGTTTAGTCCAAACTTTTCGTGAATGGCTTGATTCATTTCAAATTTACAATAAATAAATAAATAAAAGAAATGACATCCAAAATGATACTGTATAAAAATTCTAACTCCTTAGTCCCCCTGCCAATTCAAATGTGTTTTCAGCTGGAACTCATTCCGCCAACAAGGTAAAAGTATCAAGTTGGTCATATGTAATGTCATAAAGAAGATGGCAAAGAATGACAAATGCAAATAATAATATTCAACCAAACACACACACACACATATAACACATATATATATACATGTGTGTGTCTATGTGTGTGTGTTTGGTTGAATATTATTATTATATATATATATATGAAGATCCTTCCAATTCCAACTCTATTATTTGATGTCATATGATTTGTGCAAGTCCAAGAATATACCTTCACCATAATCCATCACTGTCATATTGGACAACAGTCTGTTAAACGAGTGAACAATAAGGCCAAGGCGGCATTTATAAAGGTGGTAAGATACTACCACATCCTCTCAGAAAAGAATCCAAAATGCATTTATAAGCATATTATTGTATGTCGCCTTCCCTGAATAATATCAGAAAATATCTCCCCTATAAAAACACAACAATGCTATCAATATCAATGCTCAACAGATAAATCGGAGTTCCAAATTCCAACGGGAAGGCGACATACAATAATATCAAAAAACATATATATATATTTAAAACCACCTCTCATTGCTCCACCCCCACATCCATCTCTAAAAAAACCCTCTACGAGTCACATAAGGGATATCAGATATCACATTATCACATCAAAAATATGGTCTTCAGTATTGAAGCTTTCACTGTAAATGAACGCCCAGACTTGAAATTGGAAATGCCAAAAAACAATAAAGCACAAATCAATGCCACCAATGAAAACATGGAAACATAAAACAGTTTTACAAATATGTTAACCAAAATTTCACAAATCCGCAACTCATTTGCTAGAATTCATAGACTTCAGTGATTCAACCTCGGGTCTACCAAAATAGTACAGCGATGCCAAACAAATTAGGATGTCTGTTAAAATAAGGCCCACCACATCAAAAACAAATTTTGGAGCAAATAATCCCCAAACCTGCAGGTAAATTATGCAGTGAACAAACTGTTATGATATGCTACATACACACACATTGGTCCAAATGTACTAAGAACTTTGTGGTGAGACAATACCATCAAATGCCGCCTTTGAATCGTGACACATAAAATTGTAAATGTAGCTGTAGTGGCCATAATGAGTCCGTATATCAAATACACCTGAAACATTGAATGTAAAATAACAAAAATCAAAATTAGCTAACAATAGCATGCCCAAACTTTTGTGGTTCAATGGGAAAAACCATGAACACAGGCACCTAGTTGATAACTTACTTGACATAATTGCATGACATAGAATCCTTTTATTCGCTCGGACCGACTAAATGGATATCGGCAAGCAACAAGAAATGGAAGTCCAAAAATTGGAAGGATGTGAGAAAAACCAAATGTATCAATCGTAAGAAGGATAGCTTGGGGAACGATGATGAATTCATCAAACCTGAAAACAAACACCACATCGAGATCCCTAGTCAACATGGTGAGTTCATGGGTATTACCCCTCCACATATAATAATAGAAAGGATTAACTGTAGAAAACTCCTTAAACTGTTGAGAGTTTGTGCAGATAGCCCGGCCATTTTCAAAGCAGATAACCCTCGAACTTTAAAAACTTAACAAAGAAGGAAAAATCATCAGGTAGCTATTAATGGACACATTAAATTACACTATTGTCCTTCAAGTTTGAGAGAGAGAGAGAGTTGAATCGCAAAGAAAATTTACAGAAAACCCAAAAGGCAAGATGGTTAAATATATGGTCAAACAAAAGAAGGAGCGTGCCCCACTCCCTCTGCACTTCAGTAAACGACCCCACCCCTCTGCGCTTCAACATGTCATCAACCACCCACACTGGACAGTAAGTGATACAGATAAGTGTGAGATGTATATATTATACACTCACACGCGTACAAATATGTGTATATATTGATAGAGTCAAAAGGAGAGCCAAAGAAAAAAGAAGTATACGCACACACACACATATGTATAGATAAAGATAAAGTGAGAGGGAAGATAGGGAAGGGAGATGACGATGTAATTCTTATGGTCTTGATCGAGATGCATCTATAACCCTATTGAGATATTACCAGATCATGTATGATCAGTATATGACTAGGAGAATTGAGACAATCTAAAGACAATAGTCACATTTCGGGCACCGGCCCAATTGAGAAAACGTGAGAATTTCATGAACCCATAAAATAAAATGGTCACAAAACTTGGAAGAGACTAAGAAAAAGAGAGGTTGATGCAGAAATTAACACAGCTGTCACAGCTCCCGAGTGAAAAAACTAACAAATGGAAAGTGGGGGGGGTCCAACTAGCATGGAGGAATGGATGCAGAGACCAATATAATTGCAACTGCCCAAGTGGAAAATTTTATGGATTGCATAAACAAGAACTACAAACAGCACGAGTAGATGAAGAAGATGGGTTTGATGCAGTTGTCGATGGAGATAGTCGGTGATCCTGATCAAAAAGACGGGGAGAGAGAGAGAGAGAGAGAGAGAGTTTTGCAATTGTTATATTTGCCCTGGGTTAACGATAAAGAAACCGGGTAGTGAAAATGGATCCAAGGGGCATATATGTCAACAAAAAATGATAAAACAGTCATAAAATGCAATTTTATCTACTTTTCCATCTTCATTTAACGGAGCTATAAAGGCAGGCGGTATATGCAACTTTTTGATAAACAGTAAGTGGGGCTTGTGCCAAAATAGTAGAATCTACTTTTCTTTCTTCAGGGGACTGCAATTTATAAACAAAAAAGAAAAAGAAATATATTTACGAGGGCCAAATTGTTAATTGCTGCATGCCCAGTAAGATTCATGATTTTAAATCCACAATGCCCAACCCCCAAATCAAAAAAGAGATAAAAGGAAAATGTGTGTGTTTTTTTTTTTTTGGTTGGGGGGGGCACACTCAGTCCTCACCCAATAAAAGCAGCAGCATATCGAAGGCCATCAAAAGCACACCTGCACATAAAATGACAATGGGTTATGAAACATTATAGTGCATAGGGAAAAAAAAAGGGAAAATTCCACCCTAGTCATACTTTTCAACCCTAACGGCAATTAAGTTCTAAATATTTTTTATTTGGACCAAGAAGTCCTATTTTCAAACTTATTTCCTAACTGGTTCAAATATATATATATATATATATATATATATATTTCCAAAATTACCCTTATTAATACTGTTCAATCATCTTCTCTCTCAAACATGCCGCGGCCTCCACCACCATGAAAACTACCCATCCCTCGAGCACCCACCGCCCAGCTCCACCACTCTTCTCAATCATTTCAATCTTTGATCATCATTTTATTTCTTCTTCGGCGACTAAATGACAAAGATTTGAGATCGAAAACCAATTTTGTGAGGAGGATGCAATGGGGGATGATACTAATTTTCAGAAGGTTTTTTATTTGATACTGCAAGTGGCTGTGAATGGGAATTTGAGCCCAGAACAGATGATCAAGTATTAGTGTTCTCTGACATGGAGTTTGATCAGGCTTCATCTAATCCTTGGAAGACGGACTACCAAGTGATAACAAAGAAGTTTACAGAGAAAGGGTATGCATCATCGGTGCCGGAGATTGTGTTTTGGAATTTGAGGGACTCGAGGGCGACTCCGGTGCCTGCGGATCAGAAAGGGGTGGCACTTGTGAGTGGGTACTCGAAGAACTTGATGACATTGTTCTTGGAGGGCAGTGAAGCGTTAAATCCTGAGGCTGTTATGGAAGCTGCCATCTCTGGTGAAGAGTATATACATGACTGAACATATGGGAGTACATGGTTTTTTAGTTTTTTCTGCCATCTCTGATCATTTTTTAGGAGAAGATGGTTGAACAATACTAATAAGGGTAGTTTTGGAAATATATATATTTTTGAACCAATTTGGAAACAAATTTAAAAATAGGACTTCTTGGTCCAAATCAAAAATATTTAGAACTATTGTCTTTAGGGTTGAAAAGTAGGACTAGGGTGGAATTTTCCCAAAAAAAAATTTTGTTACTACTTCCATTGTATGAGCCAAACTAAAAAGATAAAAAGAATTGGTTACAGTTAGTAAATAAAACTAGAAGATTGCGTCACTGCCAAAAAAAAGTCTTTGGACAGAAAAGTAAACTAGCAACAGCTGGATTTCATTACTGATAACATGGTGAAATCAGCAAAATTGCAGAGCTAGAAGTAGGTCCAAGGCTCCAAACATCTTACCAGTGGCCAGTGCAGAAAAACAGACACACAGCTCCAAGGCTCCATTGTGTTACAGGAAAAGAAAGTAAGTTTAAAATTCCAACATTGGGATTCTTGGTATCCTGTTCCATTCTCACCAACCTCATTATGCACCAACCTGTCAAAGGAATTCGACAAATATACTGAGTCAGGAGTGTAAAATTACAATGCTTTAAAATCCTAAATATCACCAAAGTTCAATCCAGTGAAAGAATTCTATATATGTATTTCCTAGTTGGTACTCACACACAACCCCCGCCCCCCAAAAAGAAAAGGGAATTGTTTGCACCCAAGAGGAGTTGAACCTTAGACCTGATGCTTTCTGAGAAAGGAATTCTATATTAACTTCTTCTTTTTTCCTAGTTGATGCTCGCACACCCTCCCCTCAAGGAATTGTTTGAACCCACGAGGATTCGAACCTTAGACCTAATGCTTCCTGAGGAACCAAGGCCAAGTTCTTACCCACTTGAGCCAACCCCTTGGGGGTATTCTATATTAACTTTAGCTATGCTATATTGAACTCAAATGATTAAATACGTATGAGACTGGCTTACAGAAATGTGAATGTAAAAAGGTTTAATCTAGCTCACGTATAATACCAAGACTAAATCTACAATGAAGAGAAAGCACCTCCTGCTATGGATGCTAAAGCAACCAAGGGGCCTTGTTTTCCAGAGACAATTATGATCGTTGAACTCCATGCAGATAACATGGCCACTGCTTTAATAGCTATACGTTCTTCGGAATCTGAATCTTTTGCTTCACTAATTAGTTGACCCAGTGCCAATGATGACAGTTGTGCAAAACCAATACCATAGATTATCCGAGGAATGAAATTTTTTTTAACGCCTTCCAGCACAAGAGACAGGCTCAGTATATTACTTTCTAAAGCCCAGTTTACTGCTATAAGTATATAACAAAAAATGGTTCCTATGATAACATACTTCAAAATCCCCCGACAAGAGCTGCAAACAATGCTCTTGTACAGCATGTATGCTAATAGAATCAGAGCTAGTGTTGGCACAATTTCAGCTATATAAATCCAAATAGAACCATCTTTGGCAATCCCAAGCATCCAATATGGACAAATGTTCGATAAAACAGTACTGACAGCCTGCTTTGATAGCCCAAGTTCAATAGTAAATCTGAGTATGGAGATTAACAGAACAAACACCATTGCCTGAAAATAAATCACTGGAAAAATTAGCTCAGAAGGCAAAGTCCTTCAAAAAAATATGTCATCATAATGTATTGCACAACAATAAATCAGCAGTTTGGTTACTGACAAAATAAAAGCAACTCATTTATCCAAATAAATAAATAAAAGCAACTCCCACAGTAAACTACCTACTTCCAACAGCATCTTCTTTTTCATTATTGAATAGCGTACGTTGAGCATCCCAGATGTTGCCAAAAGAAAACTTGCGACTTTTCCTTCTTCCACTGATCCCAAGGAAATAAAAATATTAAGAAACAGAAATGATCAGTAATCAAAAGATAATATGCATCAAGAAAAGTCATGAAAAACTAAAAAACATCAGGACTTACAAATATAGCTATTTGAAAGGAAGCTGACTGCACGCATTGCTACTACAATATAAGCAAAAAATGACCAAAAGGAAATTCTAGAATGCCCATGGGAAGGAACATAAGCTTCCAATAGCTTGTCCACCTTCTTGATGGCAAGAAAATGGATTATAAGTGAAGTCAACATAATGCAAAAACCAGCGCCCATCATCTTTAAATCGAACTCAGTCCATTTGGAGCGTGCTAGATCAGCAACACTTTCTAAGAATTTAAAATATGCATCAATTTGCCTCTTTAGAGAAGGTAATGATGTATAACAGTTTTCATTGTCATATAGCACAAATTCCTTCTTGATACGTGACCGATCCTCTTCTGCTTGAGAATAAATGTGTGATACATGCAACAAGTCTTCATTTGAAAATCCAATGACTGAAGAAGCAGAATAGACATCGATGTATCTCTTCACCTAAATAAATAAATCCACGTCATAAAAAAATGGTTACTTTAAAAGAAGTGTCTTGATGAAAAAATGCAATCTGCTAATATTTCCAAGAATTTGATAGAAGTTGCTGACTCTAATACATTACATTTTAAAAAAAAAAAAATCTAATAGACAGATCACAACCTACAATAGAAACTCATCCAAATCCCATCACATTAGTTGGTTATGTGACAGACAAAAATTTCAAAATGAACCAGCCATGCTCTCCTTTTTTTTCTTTTTCTTTTTTTTTGGCCTTTTGTTTGAGGATATTGAACAAAGATCAAAATCTTGTAGTGTAAACAAAACATTACTCTTCGCAAAATATGGAGGAGTGAACATTGTATTCAAGCCTTAAAGCTCTAAGTAGACAATACATCAAGAATAAGTTCTGCACTTAATCGTGCAAGTTTTCCTCAACTATAAAACAAAAGATGGCCGAATTTTTTAAAGTTAAGATAAAGAACCTACAGCAAAAAATTTCTAACAGTCAGTTGGATTTAGAAGGAAAACAAAAATAGAATGATAAAGTAGGCCCCAGCAAATTGAATTTCAACAATATTAGCAAGGCAGAGCTTTGACTAGCATCAACATATTTTGCAAACTCATGGTCCAAAATGGTGATATGCTAACAATTAAAAAGAGAAGTTTCTAAAAGGAAATTTCAGAAAAGTAGTATATCCTTTTTGGATAAAATCACTGTTCAATACTACAGTTGTTAGCTTGAGAAACATCTCCTTCCAACCCCCAAAGAGGTAGGTGTAAGGTTCAGGTTCCAATTCGGACGTGTGCGTGTGTGTGTGTCTTGCTTATCATAAAAATAAAGAACCTATTGGTCAATATCTCATATTTTAGATTGTTTTTCTAACGTATTTATTTACTTTTTATAAGAATCCAGAATGTTGTTAGATAGAGGAAAAACCAAGAACGATAAAGAGAAGGATACAAAGTCCTTTAATTTACCGAAAAGAAAAGGATAAGAAGTCCTTTAAATATAGAAAATGAATAACAAAGAAAAGCTTAAAAAGGGAACAGTATGCGCTGCCCCAACATCAATAAGAAGGATCTAAGTTCTAACAAAAACCTCAATGGGGTAAAATGACCACAAAAAGACTCAAGGGTGGCTCCCCTCTCTATTAACCATTTTGGTCACCTCTTCATTTGTGAAATTAAAAAATGTAACTCTTCAAATTGAAAGACCAAGACGTAATTTTTCAGACACCCTACCATGTAGCTTGAATCACCCACAAATCATACAATGGTGATATCCAAAGAAGTGAACTCTCTGATGCCATCCAAGAGAGCTGAAATTTATGCTCTAATATTTTTTTTCAATTTATGTTTAGGAGTTCCCGTCAGAAAAGAAAAAAGAATCTAAATACTAATAACATGTAGCGGACTTCTAGTAACAGGAATTGTTATAAAGGTTTCGAGTTTCCTAATGCCCATAAACAGATCCCTTATAGAATGAAAAGGAGAACTATTTCTGGATTAATTGATTTCTCTGGATTGATGTTCATTTCATCTTATTCAGGTGAAGTTGATTCCCTACTATTGACTTCCATGTTTGTCACGTCATTTTATATATGTCCTTCAACCGTTGCATGTCTTTAAGAAAGGGCTAGCCCAGTGCACAAAGCTCCCACCATGAACTATCCAGTCACATATACTTGTCAAAAGAAAATAAACTGAAAGATAGGGCAACAACAAAGAAATCACGCATTCAGCTAAAGGCCATTACTCAACAACGGTCCTACTAATGTGGGATGCTGTGAGGGTCACATAAACCTAATCTTGTGTGCTATTAGCAGAAATTAGCTGCCTTCATACTCAGACCACATTCCCATTCTAGGCAGCACACACTTTTAAGAATCGTATCAAACTCTTACCCCAAAATCAGGCATTAAGCTCCAAACTATGAATGAGTTTCAGTATGTTCATAAAGTGATTGCCCTAATACAAGCCAGTATAGCACTTTATCAACGGATATGTTGAGAGTTATAACATGGAAAAAATTAATCATCAATAAGTCCAATACTGTTTAAAAATATATATAAATAATTAATTAATGCAAATAAAGATGGGAAATTGGTTAAATGCAATGTATGTTAGACAAATAATTGTCAAAAAGTTCAAAACGTGCCCCACAAAATTGTTTCATAACACTGATGCATAAAATATGCACACTATCCATTTGATACTTTCCCAAAACACTTGTAAACTATTTCATTAGAAAGGCAAAGAGTTTGGAGGTCATTTCAAATTTCTCCTCCAATAATAACGCTTTTTTCAAAATTTATTTTCAATTCTTTAACTAACTATGAGTGCAATTTTAATATAACTTCGACATATCAAATTAAAACATAAATTATAAAATTATAAAAACGGGAAAGCAGCTTGACTGAAATCGTGCACTGTATTGGTGATTCATGTCTTTCAGACGCCGGACTCTTCTACTCCAGTGACCTTCTCTGATTTTCTTTCTCTGTTCCTTTCTTTTTCTTTTCTGGTTGACACTAGTATGAAATCGTTCCTTGAGATCGCAAGGCTTCCTCAAAATCACAGGGAGGGACTGTTAAGATTGCAAAACATCACAGAGGTCCTTCAATCTATTTGGATGACGATTCAGTTGGAAGATGCAGGGATGATCTCAAGTCTTGTTTGGCGGGAAAGTTCGACAAAGAGGTTGGGGATTGCATTCAAAAATCTGATTGGGCGTCGCGAGCGTGGGATATCTCGTGGTGTTGATGTTTCGCCATTACCTGATTCTCTATTTCTCTTTCGTCCATCTCAATCGGAGGAACGTTGGGTCTTGAAGGAGGGGCAACGCGATTGGGTGAGGCCATGTTGTGTGTGGATGCTTGGTATTTTAGGGTGGGATGCTCTGGTATTTTTTTTTTTTTTTTGGTAAGTAAAAATCAATAAAAAAAGTTCAAAAGGGGAACGCGTCCCATGTACAAAAACAAAACAAGAACCTATGGACCCAATGAGTCCAGAAGATCAACAACATCGTCAGAAGAAGAACAGTGTCTCCCCTTCGTCCAACTGAAAATGGAGCGAATGATATGAAGTTTCAAAATTGCCATAGACGCCTCCATTCCTTCAAAACATTAGAATCCCTCTCTTTCCAAATGCACCACCATCCTCCAACACTCACGAGCATGACCCCCCACATAGCATCCCCTCCACGCTTCAATCCAAGAAATGCCGAACAATCCGAATATAAGATGATGTTCTTTGGCCATCAAAAGGAATTTCTTCAGATTCGAGAACATGTGGCTTCGTGCAGAGGGCTTTCTTGACAGGGTTCGGTCGTGGTGGGAGGGATATGGGGTGGTTGGCACTCCAAGTCATGCCCTTGCGGGTAAGTTGCGCCTTTTGAAGGAAGACATGAAAAAATGGAATAAAGAGGTGTTTGAGAATCTGGAGTGGAGGAAAAATCATGCTTTATCAAAGATTGTAGAGATTGATGGGTTGAAGGGACAGGGCAACCTTGCGGAATCATTGAGGAATAGGAGGCTGGAGTTCCAGACAGAGTTTGTTAAGATTGCTATCATGGATGAGATCTAGTGGAGACAAAAGTCTAGAGGCTTGTGGCTCCAGGAGGGCAACAAAAATACGAAGTTCTTTCATAGACTTGCCAATGCCCACAGAAGGGGCAATCATATTGGGAGGATTCGGGTGGAAGGAGAGTTGTTGTGTAAGGTGGAGGAGGTGCGCAGGGGGATTGTTGATTTCTATAAGATGTTGTTTACAGAAACCTCAAGTTATAGCCCGTCGCTGGGGGGCTTCACTTTGACTTTATTTCTGCTGAGGAGTGCACTAGTTTGGAGGAGCCTTTTCAGAAGAGGAGGTCTTGACTACTTTGAAGAGTTGTAATGGGGATAATTCCCCAGGACCTGATTGCTTTTCCATGACCATGAGATTCCTTTTGGAGAGCTGGGAGGTGGTTAGGGGGCAGGTGATGGGTACTTTTTATTCTTTTCATGCTCAGGGTTGTTTTAAGAAAAGTTTGAATGCTACCTTTATTGCTCTTATTCCAAAGAAAGGGGGGCAATGGATGTTCGGGATTTTCGACCCATCAGTCTAGTGGGATGCATCTACAAGTTGATTGCCAGAGTTCTTGCTTTTAGATTGAGGAGAGTCTTGGATGGGGTTATTTCAGACTCTCAAAATGCCTTTGTGGGAGGTCGTCAGATTTTGGATTTAGCCCTTATCGCTAGCGAATGTGTGGATTCCAGATTGTGTAGTGGGGTTCCTGGTGTCCTTTGTAAATTGGACATTGAGAAGGCTTATGATCATGTGAGTTGGAGTTTTCTTATCTATCTGTTGGAAAGGATGGGGTTTGGTGAGAGATGGAGGTGGTGGATTCAATTTTGCATTTTCAGTCCTCGCTTCTTTGTGCTTGTGAATGGATCTCTGACGGGATTTTTTCCCAATTCGAGGGGCTTGAGGTAAGGGGATCCGCTCTCTCCTTTTCTTTTCCTTATTGTGATGGAGGCCCTTAGTAGACTGTTGAGGAGGGCTGTGGACTTGGGTTTTCTGGGAGGCTTTATGGTGGGGTTGGAGATTTCTCACTTGATGTTTGCTGACGACACTTTGGTGTTTTGTGATGCGGATGTGTTGAGATATTTGAGAGTATTCTGATTTGGTTCCAAATTGTCTCAGGTCAGAAAGTGAACGTGGGAAAGAGCGTTTTGGTGCCAATCGGAGAAGTTCCGGAGATCGCGATTTTAGCAGGGGCTCTTGGGTGTAGCATTGGTTCGTTTCTTATCTCCTATTTACCCCTTGGGTCGTCCTCGGGGTGGGAAGCTGGGACCTTGTGGTGGAGAGGTTCGAGAGGAGGTTGGCGGGATGGAAAAAACAATATCTTTCTAAGGGAGGAAGGGTCACCTTATTGAAGAATACACTTTCAAGTCTTCCTACTTACTTCCTTTCGTTGTTCCATATTCCTCATTCCGTGACTGAGAGGACTGAGAGGCTGC